ATTTCTCACCTTGCGAAAATTTTTCTTTTGAATATTTGATACCCATTTTATATTATTTTAGCGTGCAATTATACATATTGAATGAAAAAAAATGATTCAATATTATTTGATCTTCCCATTTGACATGTTAATCAATAAAAATATTAATGGAAATTTACTTCTATCTTTATATTTAATTTTTTGGAGCAAGAGAGAAATTTTCTCAAGACAAAAAAATTTACTTCTAAACAAGAACTAAATTTTTTGGAGCAAGAGGCTGAATTTTCTCAAAACAAGATTTTCTTGACTTAAATAAATTTTCTTGGATCAAGATCCGTATTTCTTAAAGCAAGAGAATTAATTTTGGAATAAGTGAAATTTCTTGTCAAAAAAAATTTTTTTTTTCGTTCCAAAAAATAATTAGGAAGAAAAATATTTTCTTGCCTCAAGTGAACCTTTTTTTCTGTGCACATATTTTTATGCTTATGATATATTTGACTAATCACATCACGAATAAATTGGCTTCACATATCTTTCATCTCAATTTTATGTTAAGATACTATAGTATAAAATGTAAAAACAAGTCCGCCAAATTTCAAACTACTAAGAAGTAAATTTAGAAATTTGAAAATTTTAATCAAATATATAGGCCAGGCAGGGAACGCATTAAAAAAAGAAAAGATTGAAATCGATTATTAACCATTAAGTAAGCATAATAAATGGTGCACTGTAAAAAATTTGTTAGACCGTCTAAATCACTCGATGTAAAAATTTTGATATGAAATTTTGATGGTGTAAGTTCAAAAATTTTGCACCGTTAATAGTATAAATATATAATTTATGTTCATTTTTCGTTAAAAAATTAAATTCAATTATTTGAATATTATGCGCTATTACTTAAACAATAATTTTAAAACATCAGTGATGCTGTCTATTAAAAAATTTGATTTTAAACAATCCAAACAGATACGTGATAGTTTTTTACGTGACCGCCCTTATATTTTATTTTAAGTGTTGGTCAATATAAAAAAAAATCAAATTGTAAAAAAAAAAATTTTTCAGTACAAAAAAATTTAAAATCAACAGAAAGAAAATTTTTTGCCAATGTGAATTTTCAATAAATTTTTGTCAGAATGAAAAAAATTCAAATTTTGTCAGTGTTAAAAGTATTTATCACTACAAACTAGTATTGAATCTCATCTATTATTAAAAATCGTTAATAACTTTATTTTCAATCCGCGATGGTAACTTGCTATCTTATATTACAAAGCCTATTATCTTATATTATAAACATTAACATCATAAAGATACTGATCACCGTCAGGCCACACTGATAGAAGGATTTATTTATAGTTAAAAATATTTGTTATTATTTAACAAATCATTTATTAAAAGCCATTTTTTAGTCCTCAACAAATATTTCTTAGTATTTAAAAAGATTTATTAATATTTAATAAATGAATATCAGATTTATTAAATACAAACAAATCATTTTAAATACTAAGAAATATTTATTTAATGCTAAAAAGTGGTCTCTAATAAATGATTTTTTAACTATTAACAAATATTATTTAATACAAATAAATCCTTCTATCAGTGCAGTATTTTGGATTTTCCCGTAATAATAATATAATTCGATAATAATTATTGTCATTAATTTCTTAGCGGTTATTGTTGTTATAAACTTATCGACGTCAAATATTAAGTAAAGGTTTATTTATAACTTATCAATACGTAATTAATATACGTAAAAAATATTTAATAATTAATTGTTGCTTATTAAAAAGAAAAACAATGACTGACACGGTGTGTTACTAAAATTTTGACAGCGTGTATTAAATTTTTTCACGAAATAAATTGAACATTTTAAGCAATATTTTTAACTTGAAAATTGAAATTACCCCAAACTAAAACAAGTACTTAAACAAAATCGACCTTTCATTATGATTTATAATAAAGTTTAGAAGTATTTATTTCTATACACAATGCGTACAATACATAATTCTATTTGCTCAGTTCTACCGAGCACCGAGCATTTTAAGTGACTTATAAATAAAAAAAGTTTGCGTTGTTGCGATAACGACGAACGTGTGCCGGCACGTGTCACCTGTCTGTCATGCTCTGTGAATTCGTAGGTTGTGTCGTCGCATTTTTAATCCACCCTCCACGGAGATATGGCCGAGTAAACCCCCAAGACCTGCTGCTCCCCGTCAGCATTAGACTTTAGACTCATATTAAACGGGTGCCGCACTATAATAGTTCGCCTTTACATAGCTTTGACACTTATTTTTTTTATTACCTCAATTAAAAAAAAATATCGTTTATTTGAAAGTAAACTAAAAATTTTTTCTATAACTTTATTTTATTACCTGGATAATAAATTTAGTGATAAGTGTCTACAAAAGTTATTTTTTAAAGAAACATAATTATTTATCTAAAAAACAAATAAAGTTAACAAAAAAAATTTCCATCATTAAGCAGCGTCATAATTTATTTTTAATTTATATAAATACAAGTTACTTTTAATAGTGACCTATTATAAGTCACTTCGTCTCAAGAATCTTCAGTGGAAAATTTTAAAGAATTAGAAAATGGTGAATTATAAAATTTTAAGCTTTGCGATTTTGAACATTTCTGTGATAGGTACGTATATTTCATTTTGAGGCATCGAAAAATAAAAAAAGCATTTTGTAGCAAAGAAAGTAAATTTTTATTATTTCGAGAGTGAAAGTATGGCATTAAAGTAATGTTAACCGCGTCTGTCTATTGTACCTTTTTTGTGACTAACTGTACTTGGAACACTTTTTAAGCACAAGTGTCGAAGAACCAGTACTTTTTCTGTTTTTTTTATCTTTCTTCTCTACACGGAGAGAAATTTATAGGAACCTTTCCAAAAATTATGGGAATGGTTCCTATAATATTATAGGAATGGTTCCTATAATATTATAGAAACTATTCCTATACCCGTGTAAAAATGATATGATATCATTATGAGGCTCATAATGAATGTCATATTTTGGTAAAAAAATGGCGGGAAAATGGCGGATAGATTTAAAAAACGGCGGATAGATTCAAAAATGGCGGCAGAATTCACCACCAGCGCCACCTACAACCAAGTCGATAAAAAACCTCGCCCATAACCTCAAAATGTCGGTAAAACACGCCATCCATATCCACAGCAACACCGCTGTCGGTAAAACAGATCCCCTCCATATCGATAGGCAGTAATTAGCCTGGACACGAACCCACGAATCTGTTTTACCGATGGTAATTTTATATCACGATTTAAAAAGACTAACAATATCATTATGATATCATTATGATTTTATAAAGATATGACCATCATTTAATTATTAATTCATTTTAATATCATTATGATTTCATAATGAAATTATGTTAATATCATCATGGAGATACTGTCCTACTGAATTTCCAACAGTCACAAAAAAGTTTTTTTCTTGAATTATGAATAGAAGGCAACAAAATCATTACAATATTATGATGAATTTAAAAAAATATCAGCCTGATTCCATCATAAGTTTACGCAGTTACTATTATGACTTCAGTATGAAATTATGCGTTTGTCACTATGGATTTGTCACGAATCTCCATGAGACCGATCCGTGTGGATCAAATTTTATATTCAATAATAATTTTAAATTTCTAGAAATTTGCTTTCTCCAACAAGAAAAATAAAAATTTTATAATCTAGTTAAAAAAAATTCGTTTCCATAAGTATTTTACTTAATACAGGTTTCAAATATATTGATATGGCTTTTATATGAATCTCATATTAATGCCAAAATATGAGATTCATTATGAGCCTCATAATGATATCATATCATTTTTACACGGGTATATATTATGGGAACCATTCCTATATATTATGGGAATCATGCCGATATTACAGTTATAATTATATAGATATCGTTCCCATATAATTATAGTAACATTTCCCAAAAATTGTGGGTACAATTCCCATAATTTAAGTAATCGCTCTTAAAATGGTATAGGAAAACATTTCATTAAAATTATAGGAATGATTTCCACATTTTTCTCTCCGTGTGCTTTTTAATAGAGAACTTTAAAATATTACAGTTCATTGAAAAATGTTATCATTGCTAAGATTCCTCGCTAAAATCTAAAAATAACTTAAAGTTTACATACAACTGATAAAAAAATTAACTTGATTCAAGAGAAAAAATTTTTATCTTAAAAAAATTATCATTTTTTGCTGAGTCAAGCATAAAAATGTTTGAACTAAGTAAACTTTACTTAAATCGAGAAAAATTTATTAATTCAAGAACAATTCTAATACTTGATCATATACCGCAAATATCTCTATTCTTAACTTCTCTGTTTAATCGTTCACTTGAGTCAGGTATCTTACCAGATATTTGAAAAATGGTTTTTATTATACCGCTAAGCAAAGTTAGTCCACCAAAGTCTCCGTCTGATACGCGTCCAATTGCAAATTTATCACACTTAAGCAAAGTATTCGAAAGTATTATAGCAAATCAAGTAGTTGAATATTTAGAAGAAAATAATCTGCTTGACAAATATCAATCTGGATTCAGAAAGTTCCATAGTACCCAATCAGCCCTTCTTAAGGTCACTGAGGATATCAGATGTGCAATAGATAGAGGTGAATTAACTCTGCTGGTATTATTTGACCTTAGCAAGGCTTTTGATTATGTCAACCCGAAGGTGATATTAGTAGCGTTATTTGAACTAGGTTTTTCGATTGAAACTGTGACTTGGTTTCTCTCTTACTTGTCAAATCGCTCACAATCAATATTAAACGATCAAAACCACCCATTAGAGTTCCTTGATATAACATCGGGCGTACCCCAAGGTTCAGTTTTAGGGCCTATATTGTTTTTAATAGTTATAAATCTGGTAGTACGACAAATTACTCACTGTAAATATGGTCTGTTTGCCGACGACAAATATATATATATTATCACTTTAAACCTACTTCAGTAATCGAAGCAATTAGATTAGTAACAATTGATGCACAGGGGATTGCTGATTGGGCTAAAGATCATGGATTACAGGTAAACTTAAATAAAACAAAATCTTTGATAATAGGGTCAAACAGTAAACTAAAATCATTAAACATTGACTCGCTACCACCCATTATTATCAACAATGTTCCTTTACCGTATGTAAGCCAAACAAAATGTCTGGGCTTATCGTTAAACAATGATCTCTTATGGAAAAATTATGTTTCACAAACTGTTAGAAAAGTAAATGCTGCTCTATATACATTAAAAACTCGGATGAATATTTATACTACTGCTATCAGAAAACTTCTAGTCACTGCAACTATTCTTCTTCTTATTGATTATTGTACTGTAGTGCTTATTGATGCCACAGCTGACAATAATCTAAAATTACAGCGAGCATTAAATAGTTCAATACGATTTATTTATAATCTAAAGAGAGATGAACATATTACTCCATACAGACGTAAATTAAATTGGTTATCTGTGAAGTCAAGACGTCTATATTATTTAATCACTTATTATTATAAACTATTGCAAACAGGAAGTTCATGTTTAAACGAATTAAGTATTAAGAAATTTTTTTAATTAATTTTAAAAGTATTCAAACTACGTATTTTGTGATTAAAAACATCAAAAAATCATTAAGTCAATTTATTAATTTTTTGTTAAATAACGCAACACCTAAAAGCATATGGACTGAGGATTCATGGATGGTTGATTATTTTTAAGGATATCAACGTGTCTGTCTTGGGGGTTGCAGGTGCTTCGTCACTTATATCCTTTGCGGATTCATGGTTGCGTGATTACTGGGGGCAAGTCTTCGGGGGTCGGTTGGTATTCAAATAAACTTACTACCTCAACCTTAAGACATTCGAGGTTCTTACCGTGTGTGTATGTGTGTTGATGGAAATATTATATAAAGAATATAGAATAGCTGAGGACACGTGCTAGGATGCTCCGTTGGCTTGGTATAGAAATATATTAACTCCGCTGGCCCAGGGGGTGCAGATAAATATAAATTACTTTTAGTGTTTTGAAATACTCGTGACATGTGCCACAGCAAGGAGACACGCTCTGATGATTTCTAGCTACCCTGCAGGTTTATCTGTAAGTCCGAACGTTAACTCAATGGTATGTCTTGGTGGTCGCAGGTGACACGCTGGTGGCCGAAGCAGGTGACCGCTCTGCAGGTTACTTTAATGAAAATGACAACAAACTTTTGTGTTAGTAACTCGTTCGTTTTTTTTTCTTTTTTTTAAATTTGATATTAAGTTATATATACATTGATATTGCTTGAAGTCACAATATTACAAAATTTTATACATTTAATTATTTATATAAATAATAAAATTTTTTAATATGATATTAAGGTAAAAGCCCACATTATTGACATTATAAGAGTCATCATGAATATTTGAATTTTTTATCGTGTTTTAAATCGATATTGTCATTTTTTTTTTTATAGGACACCTTAATCATAGTTTTTTCTTATATCCTACTCACAAAAAATAAGAGAATAAAATAAAATGCAAATTTTTTTTAGATTTTTACGGGCTGTATTTCACATAATCAATGGATCGATCCATTGAGTAGTTTTTTCTGCCCCAAGAATTAAAAATTTTGAAAAAATTAAAGGAATAAGATTTTTTATTCATTATCGTGCTGCAATCTTCAGAAAAATGAAAAATTTTTTTTTCGTTTTGCTCTCAATTTGCCTCAGCTCATCAGTAAATTTGAATAAAAAAACAACAAACAAAAAAATTTGAAAATTAAAAAAAAAAAAATTAGAAAAACAGTTCACCCTAAAGGCCATCCGTGCAACTTCCCGCTAATTCCATTCCTGGGCACTTAGAATTGTACTTATGACATTTTTGAGTTTTTTGAGCTCAAAATATAATTTATGTGATATTTTGAGCTCGCTGAGTTCAACGAAATAATATTTCTATGCATTTGAACTCTCCTAGTTCAAAAGTCTGATAGAAGTTTCATAGAACACTATTTTTGGAATTTTCAAACCGCAATAACTTTTGAATGGATCAACCAATTTTCACGTGGTTGGCGGCATTCGACGCAGTTTTATTATCCTCATAAGTTATTTTCAGATTTTAATTGATAGAACCAAAAATTTCGGAGTAATCCTGAAAAAACACTTTTTTCGGTTTTCTTTCGTTCACGATATCTCTCGAACGAATCAACCGATTTTGACCGGATTAGCGCCGATCGGCGTGGTTTTTCAAGCTTAAGGGCAGAT